TGCGTGCGTGCGTCTGGGCGTGCGTGCGTGCGTCTGGGCGTCTGCGCGCGGAGATCCCCGCCCCGGCAAGAGCGCCGGGCCCGGACATCAGCTAGGTCGCAGCCCCCCGAGCGGGCCATGCCAACAAACGTGCCGCCGCCCGGGGGGGGGGGGGGGGGGGGCGCTGTTACCCGAAGGGACCAAGGGTGCCGGGATGTTGTTGTCCCTCTCCGGCCCGGGGGCGCCAAAAGAGGCAGGCCGCCCGGGCGCCGGAACAACCAGCCAGGCAGGTGCCTGGCCCGGCGCCGATCCCCCATCAGCTCGGTCCTCCACCGGGGGGAGGGGGGGGGGGGGCGCATGGGGGGGCCCTCCCGCAGATGCGCGCATGTGAGCCCGGCGTGCGCTTGTGTGTTTGTGGCCCCCCCCCCCCGGCCCTCTCCGATGAGATGTGAGAGGGCGGTCACGCTGGTTGGCGGCCGGGGCCCAAAAAAGAGGAAGGTCGAGCCGAGAATCGAACTCGGATTGACAGATTCAGAGTCTGCCGTGATAACCATTACACCACTCAACCGGGTACGGTGGTGCTGCCGACGAAAGGGCCTTTGTTTGGGGCGCCTTCCAGGCACCCCGCGCCTGGCGCGCGCGCGCGCGCGCATGGGGAGAACCCGCGAAAGGGCCGCGAAAATAATCGACCCACACATCGGCGCTCCGCCATTCTGGGGGTTTACACTGGCAGGACACATCCGGGGTGGTTCTTTTTATTTTTTTCTTTCTCCCCACTCCAACAGGCATGTGTCGCGCTGGCTTGTGGCCGCTGCCTCTCCTCCTGGGCACCCGGGCCAGGGCTGTTTTTCACAGGCCTCGCCGGGTCCCTAGGGACGCCTCTGCCCGTCGCCGCCCTGCTCCCCCCCCCCCGCTGACAGAGCCATGTGGCATCTACGCGGAGACGCAAAAAAAAAAGAAAAAAAGCCCGTCTCAGCTTCCAAAGGCACGGCTCCCTGCCTCGGCCCCCGGGCACCATGCTCCCTGCAGCCCCCGCGTACAGTAGGACCCCCCCCCCCCGCGTGGCCGCACGCCAGAAGAGCCGCCCAGTAGCGAGGTGTATTTCGGCCGGGCCGGTCGGGCGCCCGGCGATCAGAGCACCACGCATTTGCCGGTGTCCTGGTGCTTGTCGGACGGCCGGCCGTGCCGGCGGTCGTGCAGGACGTACTCCACCACGGGCTTCAGGAAGGCGAACCGGTCGTCGAGCATGTTCTTGTCCCACTCGAGGGTGGTGGTGAAGCCCTTGGCGGTGGCCAGCTCCTGGCAGGCCTCCAGGGTGACAGGACGCCGGTAGCGCCGGGCCAGCCGGTCTATGACGGCCTTGTCCGCCTGCAGGTGGGCCTTGGACAGGATCAGGAAGCGCCGACACTCCGGGATGTTTCGCAGGAGGTCGTGGTACCACTGCGCGGGCGAGAGGGTTAGCATGGGCCAGCCGCCCAAGAGCCGGGCATTTGGCGGGGCCCCGGGCCCCCGCGAAGGGACGCACCTGCTGGCCGACGCTTTCCAGCGAGTCCGGCATGTCGGCGGCTGCCATCAGCAGCACGGCGTCGGCATCCAGGTAGAGTTCCGACCGGAGGGGGCCCTCGAAGAGGCCATTGGGTGTCTCGTGCAAATGGACCGTGACCACGCCGTAGCTCGTGTACATTGAGAGGCTCACATGCCCGGGGGCGGCGTCCTTGTCGTCGAGGTTGTCCTCGTCGTCGTCAGAGCCGGAGGAGGAAGAGGAGGAGAAAGAGGCCAACCGCCGGCGCGTGGTGTAATAATCCGGCCCGGCCAGCGACCGGATGAATGTCGACCGGCCGACGCCCTTGTCGCCAAGGAGGTGGATGACCACCGGGTCTCTCAGGGACTTGCTCATGGATGGGCTGCGGTGGGGCGAAGTGAACGGGGGGGGGG